GATCTTTTTCGTGCCAGCACCTACTGCGACACGGGACCTCGGTTTATACTAGCTTTCCCATCCAAGGACCTGCAGTACATGCTGCCTTTTCATTATTGATATTTTTAAAATTTTCTAGCATGCTCTCCTTTGCAAATAAGTATCAAAATTTTTCGTCCTCAATTTAAATATATTTTTTTATTTTACATATCTGAAATTAATGATTCATATTCGAGTACTAGAAGTGACCATTGACCAATACTTGGTGGAGATGAATATGTTCGATACAATGAGCTGCATTGTACTTACTTGCAGAGTAATCATCATCTTAATGGTTCCTGTTTGAGAAGAGGGCCTTGGTTAAAGTCCTCCTGTTCAGGCCTTTAACTTTATTCCTATGTACTTGCTGATTTCTTCTTCGCACGACTTTCGACAAATTGCCCTGGGACGTCCGACCCGAAGTATACAGTGGGGGGTTCCACTCAAACGCATTGTTTTTATGTCTTCCAATCGAATTTGATGGTATGCCCACTTCAATGACATTCCCTATATAGGAGCTATTTGCTAAGTGATGGAGTTTTTGTTTTTTGCGCGGGTTCTTTTCAGATATCCTTTCTGGCTACCCGATGTTCACTATGTGGCACACATTTCTGATTTTAAAGGATTGTAGTTGGAGATAGTGTTGGTGTTCCATATAGAAAAGCACGACCATTTCTGTCACTAGTATACAGAGCTTGTTACGTGGGGACACTGCTATTGAATTGGTTTGAAAGTGATGAACGCATGTTTTGCACTAATGCTTTGAAAGTTTTCGTCTGTACCACCAATGGCTCAGACAATGCTGTCCGAATATGTGAATGAGTCTTTGTCTCCCAGGCTTTGCGTGTAAGAGTGGCTTTTGTTTGTTATTGAGCTCTTATCTTGTCTGTGTTGGCCTGAAGACGACGTGTCTTTGCTGCCTCGTGACCACTCCTGCTATCTTGAGCTGCATGTATTCATATTTTAGGGACTTACGTCAAGATCATCTTTCAAACACTGAGTGAAATTCTACTGCAGGACCACTTTTTCGCATGATCCAGTTTACCACAAATAGGAAGATCATCGGTAACAAAAGACAGTAGACAGTCTTCCCTTACTCCTGTCTCTGCATTAAAAGGGCTTCTGCAAGCTTACCGTTGTGGATGACATTAGCACGTAACGTCGCCATAAAATTGTTGCATGAGGTTGATGAAGTTGGACGGTGTTACATTGTGTGGGGTCGGAGCTTTATATATGAGTTCCTCGTATAAAGAAGTTTTTAATATGTAGACTCCATGTTTGTTGGGTTTTTGGGGCAAGTTGAAATACCGGTAATTCTTTCACAACTTAAAATAAACAAAACCTAACAGGATTACTTTGAGCATGCAGTTAGTAATGAATTTTATGAAAATAGTATTTACAGACCTGTGGCTTTAAAGAGAGTTGCACTGAACGCTTCCCCCGTTTCGACAGCCATGACTGCTCCACTACTCTGATGAGCTTTGTAAGAGCACAGTTTGAGCGACTTGAAGTTCAGATGAGTTTGTTCGAAAGAGTGGAGTTTGGTGTTTGAAGAGGCTTTGTACTAGTATCCACTCATTTCTTTATCTTTGTGCTGAAAGATGCTTTCGGGTCATCAAAGGATAATGGCTACCTCGGCACAAGTACAAAAGGGACGCTTCTACAATGCTCGTTTGTGCTCCAAATTATAAAAAACATTATCAGAGAAACTGTTGACAGATAGCAGAGCAATACATCTAATACTCGTGGAGGAGTGACTTCATAAACTAATGGCCAAATGTCATCTGCTTAGTTTGATCATTAGTCAAACATAGTCTGAACACCTTATTGTCTCTAACCAAATCGAGGTTGTGTCATTAGAAATCTGCTCTACGGCAATGGATCTTGTGCAATTTACATACACGTACCTCAAGAGAGTAACCTGTAGGTTTTCCATAAGATATTTGGCATCTTTGGTATCAACTGGCAAAACAGATTTCCCAACATTGTCATGCTGTTTTAATGGTGTCGCATAGTTTCTTGTGCAAGAGAGTGGGTGGATGCCAGAAAACAAGATTTAATTGCATTTCGCAAGGCCTTTCCTCCGTCGGTTCCAAAAATTATTTTTGTTGCTTCTACCTCGTGAAGCTAACTCTGTAAATGCTATGAAAATCGTTGGTATGTGAGATATTTTCCATCCAAGTGTAAGTAAATTGGGCCAAGTATTATTTGGGGCTCGTTGCTTTCATTCTTCACAGGGTTTATCTTTTTAAAAGTTTTCACGATATGAAACAGGAACTAACGTTGAAAATTCTGTCAAGTCCGATAATTCATCCTTTATTAGTGGCATGATTATCATCTGCTCCGCCAAGTATAAAATAAGTGAAAGTGGGACTTTCTTTCCTTTCATCATTCGAAAAAACATTTCTGACTTCTCGTGTCTAACATTTAGAAAACCAAGCTGTTTCTTGAGGAAGTACTCTGGCTTGGTTATATTTTCTCCCTGTATCCAAGCACCTCAGTCGTCAGGATGAGTTTTTGCCATCAGCCTTTCATCTTGCATTATACTCATAATTTAATACAAAGAATACATTTTCTATCACGCCTTTTAAAATGTCTGTAAGTTTGGTTTCTGTACTCTGGTCTTGTAAAATTTTAATCTGTTGCTCCAATGACAGAAATTTTATCTAGATTTTTTTAAGGCTGGTAAACATCCTTCAAGTTTGTTACGTTCTTTTGGAATTCATCTCCAGGTACCACCTCCAGCTCTGAGTCATCAACATTGACAACATTTGAGTGTCCATTTTCTGTTACAGTGTCTTTGCAGGGTTTATCCCCCCGAAGAAGCTGAAACTTGACCTAATGGAGGGAGCTCTTCCATGCGGTCAAGGTCAATAATGTTTGTTCGGATACAGCAAGACTCCAACATAGAACAAAATGATTGTGTCTCCATGTTCCAGACCCACGTGCTGATCCACTCCACCTTGTTGATAGGTTGGTCTTAAACTTTTTACTCTCGGATGGAATGTTCTGTTGATGATACCTATGCAGTTATACAAAGGTCCGTTCACAACAGGATATACGGACTTTTCAGGTTTCCTTATTATTGCATGAAAAGACCAAGCAGTTGAAAAAATGCGATTGATGGCACAATCAATGATTGACTTGTCTATGGTTTCGGCACATTGGTTGTTTTGTGTTGTTCTACGTAGCATACTTTCTGTTTTGAATCAGCTCAATGGCTGAACGAAGACGAAGTTACGTAGAATACTCTTTATGACCTGATGCAACAACCGACATACTATATATAGTAGCGTTAAATAGGCAGTTTCCATCTCCTCTAACAGCAACCGGGACAATCAGTGAAGTATATATTTCGTAAGCAAATATGTTCCAAGACAATACGGATCGTTATCTCGTGGCGAAATGTTGCAGATATATTTATATTCATTTTAAAAAATGATAAATATTTTGAATAAACCCGAAATTATAATTTCGGGTTTATTCAAAATAATTATTAGTATGTGGGCCAATAATAGTTTCAAAATAGGGCCAATTGCTAAAGCTCAACCGTGCGTTCAGGAAAACACGCTGACGCGCTGACACATAATACGCTGTCACGCTAACACGAGGTCGCACAACACGCCGTGTCACTAACACACAACACGCTGTCACACTAACACGAGTTTGCACAACACGCTAACACACAACATGCCATGGCGCTAACACGCTTTCAAGCAACATGCCTTCGCGCTAACACACGACAACCGTTGCGAGTTGTGTGTTAGCGCGACGGCGTGTTTGTGAACTCGTGTTAGGTGACAGCGCGTTGTGTGTTAGCTCGACGTGTTGTGCGAACTCGTGTTAGCGTGACTGCGCGTTGTGTGTTAGCGCGACGGCGTGTTTTTCTGAACGCGTTGTTGAGCTTTTGCAAATGGCCTTATCCGGACACCATAGCCTATCACGTAATATTATACATTTATCACATGGCTTCGAGGGTGACATAACACTCCAGAAGCAAGTGCAATGGGTTTTTGTTATATGAATTTTTAAAATTGAAAAAAAAAATAAATCATTAAAAACCGTTGAAATATACACAAACAAGTTGCAAAAAAGGACTGTTCAACATTATTCAATTAAGAAAATTTCTAGGTATAGTGAATATTCATGTAGATTTGTTCACATTTTCCACAATGATCTGTCTACTTATTATGACTGATTGTAGGTTAAATTTTATCGCGGCCTTTAGTTTTGCAGTTTCAAAAATCACAGTAACCCATATGAAAGGAGGTGTATTTACATGTACACACACACATTAAAAGTCGTTGCTAATAAAGTATTTGGATATACAAAATTATTTTGCACTGCACAAAACTTGTCACCTTTTAAAAGCTAGGTATCGTTTTTCATTTAAGTTGTTAAGTTACATGTTATATACTGCATCTTATCTTTAAAATGCTTGTACATGTACCATAGAATAGTTTTGTATATAAAAGTTTGTATTTATTTTGTAAATGCTTATAAACCATTGACCAATATATACTTTAAATCACCGTGAAGTTTTAAAACAAGAATTCTTTTTATAAACTTTAATTTATCGTGATTTCTTTTTTAAAATTCTATAGAATTATAGATAAAGAATATGAAAGGAGGTGTATTTACATGTAAAAATAAATAAAGTCATATACATACATTATTGTGTTCTTATAAACTATTGACTATATTCTTTAAATCACCGAAGATATTTATGTCTTAAGACGTAAGTAATTTCCATATTAAATATATAAAGTATGTGCATGTAAGTTTTCCAATGCAATAAAAGTTCATTGAAAAAAAAAGTCGTTAGCTTAGTCCTGAATCTATTATTTTGAACGGGGTCGAGATCAAACGGTTAACCTGGAACAATAAATTGAAATAATTCAACAAAAATAATAAAAACAGAAAGAAATGCTTCAAGATATATATTTATTAAAATAAATTATGAAAACATACAAAAAGCTGTTTAAATACACTAAACTCCATTAATTCTGTTATTTTACCAAACTTATCATTATTTTCGTACTCGGAGAACAGATGTATTAAATTCTGAAATAATCCATCCAGGTGCTTCAGAACAGGGTCTCAAAGTGATCGATGCAGTTCATCATAGCCACTCATGTACTTGGATCTTACACGTATGACTGCTCGTGCAATGTCCAACCAATAGGTTCTACAAAGTGCGAATGTAGGGGATATTCAACTTTGAAATTCTCCGCGCGATCCAGTTTCCTCCGTGCGTTCCAGTATGGTACAGCCTGAAGATATATATAACTGGCTTTTCAGAAAAGAATTGACTTAATTGCTCTTTTTCAATTTTAAACTAGTTTCATTCTCTACTTCACACTTTTATTCATATTTAGATTGTATAGTGAATATAATATCATTCCGCTGGCTTTAAAAATAATGTTGTGATGGGTAAGACATTAATACATTGTTAATTGTGGAAGTTTCGTTCTTTTTTGACTGCCCTTCTAGTCAGTTCAGAGTCATAGAAACTTGTGGATAGGACCCCCAACCCCAATATTCAATATAGTTTTAGTGAGAAAAAAGCCCCTGGGTTGAATGCTTTTCGTAATATTTGTAATAGATAAAGGTTAATTACATGCAAATGTTTTGTTGTTGTTTTTTTAACTCTTTTCGTCATCTACAATATGAGAATACGATGTTACTAAAAAAAAAGAATAAAAAGTACTCCGTGATTTTCCTGCTTAAAAATAACAAGATAAAGTTATATAGATATCAATTAACAAACCTTAATCATACTAATTATGATCTCCATCCGGGCCTCTGTGGATTCTGTTGATGTCGAATTGCGGGGGGTCAACCGAACTTCCTGGATCATTGGGGTTAATGATTACACGAACTCTTGGTCGCGGTGCTGATGAATAATAAATGCAGAAAAGGGTTTTAGTATATTTTAATTTTAGTTTCATTTAATCATTTTTTTCGATTTTTTTTTTCTTAATTAAATACCTCAAACACTTCTTACCTAAGTAGTTGCTATACAGCCACTTAGCTGCATGGAAAATAATAATCGTTGTTGCAATCATTTTGAACGTCAAGTCTTGGTGATAATTATGGTGAGAAATGGAATGACGTCACAGTTAGAAATACAGTACCGTCTACATATAGTGCATTGTGACGTCATACATGTCTAGCAAAGACAGGTTTTTTTTCTTTTTTATAAAAATCCTTTAATTTTTATTTCTGTTTTATAAAATATAATAAGCTGCGGTCCTTTAAATTATCTATATTATATACTGAATGTTTTAACAGTGAACCTGTGCGCAAAAATTCTGCGCAGTCACAATTATTTTTGTAATTTAACACCAATGGTCACATTTTCTAGCCAGAGTTGTCTTCCGCTACGCTCACTACACCTCTGTCAACGCTCGTTGTACAAGATTCTTGTACAAAGTTTAAACGGTGAAAATTTGAAGTTAAAATAGTAATTAATTATTGTAACTATTGATAAAGATGATAATTCATCATTTATTTCAAACGTATATTCCCTCAAAACGACTTATTTTCAAAGTTTTAAGAGAACTATTTTGCGGAGTTAAAATTAAAATCTTAATTTAAAAATCCTTTTAAAGTGTAACAAATTAAAATAAATATTGTTTTCCAATAGGAAATATAATTATAAACGACTATTAATACAATTTTTAATCATTTACAATTTTTCCAAGAATCTTGTAAAACAAGCGTTGACAGAGGTGTATGTGGGGAGCGTAGCGGGAACGACAACTCTGGATAGACGACAACTCTGGATAGAGAATGCAATGGTCAAGCAATGTTGACTGTTGCTACGATGGAATGAATGACTTCATTATGCAGCGGAAATTAGTGTTTTTTAACAAATGTTTCTCGACGAATCAGATTCAGCTAATTTACATGAAACTACATTATACTATACTGAATGTTGTATACAAATATATTTCCATTTGTTTGTTTTCACTGTGATAACTCTTTGAAAGTTAGTGGAGTTAATTTCTTGATAATTCTACTGGAATGTAAGGGTGAACTTCAAAACAAGAGGCCCATGTGCCACATCGCTCTCCTGAGCACTGTGGCTAGGAAAAAGTAGAAATTGGTTTGTTATTGAAAAGTTTAAATCCAAAAGTAGTCCAATGACCAATCATGGCTTTGCTATTCTTGAAAAGATGATTTTTAAAAAATTTTCCTATATATGTCTATGTAAAAATTTGATTGGCCATTGTTGCTCCGCACAACCCCCGGGGTCATGATTTAAACAAACTTGAATCTACACTACCTGAGGATGCTTCCATATAAATATCATCAATTATGTCTTTGCTATTCTTGAGAAGAAGATTTTTAAAGAATTTTTCTATACATTTCTATGTAAAATTTTGGTCGGCCATTGTGGCCCCGCCCTACCCCCAGGGGTCATGATTTGAACAAACTTGAATCTACACTACCTGGGGATGTTGCCACATAAGTTTCATCTTTCATGGCACAGTGGTTCTTGAGAAGATTTTTAACACATTCCACCAAATTTTCATTAATTGCCAATTATCTCCCCTTGAATGAGGGCGTCGCCCTTCATTTGAACAAACTTGAATCCCCTTCACCCAAGGATGCTTTGTGGCAAGTTTGGTTGAAATTGGCCCAGCGGTTCTTGAGAATTCGAAAATGTGAAAACTTTACAGACAGGCGGACAGCTAGACGGACGACGGACAAAATGTGATCAGAAAAGCTCACTTGAGCCATCGGCTCAGGTGAGCTAATAAAAAGGGATCTGACCCGGGTTTGTCTTTTTTTCACAAAAAGCTTGTCGATTTCCGCTCCGATGACATTAGACAGAATACAAGTAACAATTTGTTTTTCGGTTTCGTGGAGGGTGTCAGCGTTTTCTAGGGGGGTCCAAGGTTTTCACTTTTTACTTAGTTTAGTATGTTTAGGTACTGAATAACTACAAATTCCGGGGGGGGGGGGGGCTCTGGAGGTCGGGGTGCAGTTTTGTTACTGTATACAGGGTTATTTTCCCCCCCCCCCGCCCTTTTGAACTTGTTTTACCCCGTTTTAAATTCTACTTTCTTTTTAATGTCGCCTTAAATTCGTAAGGTGCAGTTTTGTTATATATATTGTTGTAGCGTTTGCAGTACAGTTGCAAAATAATGAGTTGGTCCTTACTTTGCGGTCGGGTTCAAACCCAATGATAAGACATATGGACATTTTTGTTTATTTTTAAAACTATCGTATTTTTTTATTCAGTTAATCCATAGCCTATTAGAACAATGTACCGAATGGAATTCACCATTATTTGTAAACTACGTTGATTTTGAGAAGGCATTCGAATTCACTCACAGAGAGCCTTCGGTCTATGATGAAGTTTTACGACATCTCAGACAAATACGTCAAATTTATGGTGACATGTCTATTTGAACCATTCCAGTATTCAGATCACGAGAGATGGGGAACATCTAACTGGTTACATTTGACAGCAGAATGACCCTGAATGGGGTTTCTTCAGATCCTTGTGTAGCGATCCATAGAATCTGATTTTAATCAGATTGCAGATTTCAAAGCATTAATTCATCTTCAGACTATGTACTGTACAAATAATTCATGCATGCATTTTCACTATATATAATCATTAGAGCGCCACCCTAACACCAGAACCCCTCACCCAGGAACCATGAAATTCACTATTTTGAAAGAGGCATCCTTCCTACATAGTTTATTGGTTTAATACCCAGGAGCAGAGATGAAGATTTTTGAAGAATCAATGTATTTTCACTATATAATCAATAGAGCCCCGTCCTAACCCCACAACCCCCACCCCCACCCAGGGGTCACAAAATTCACAATTTTGGTAGAAACACTCTTGCTCATCATAACTATATACTTAGTTTGTTTGATACCCAGGAGCAAAGAAGATTTTTTAAGAATTAATGTATTTTCACTATATATATTCAAAAGAGCAGGTGACCTAAAAATGTCCAAGTCTGGTTTAAAAAAAAAAATTAGGAAATATTTTGTCTCAGCAATTTTCTTAAATTAAATTAGCACAGAATTCTTCAACTTTTTAATATTTGTAATTTTTGTTCATAAAAAGAATTTGCAGACAAGCTTAGCACAGAGATGAACTTTCAACTGATTTGACAAGCCTAACAGTGGTCTCTATCTAAGTGCAATATATGTCAATTCTTTTTCAACATGCACATTCTTCCCATATTAAGAAATGTATTTAAATATTACCTTTCATTGATTTGATTAATTCAGCTTAATTCCATTTAATACCTAATTATAAATATTTATTCAGTTTAACTGAACTTTATTGATATAATATTTCATTTACAACTCCTCATCTTCTGCATTTTGAACATTCAAAATCGTGTCCATTGCTAAAAAGTCTGCAAAAAAAAGTGCCTGCATGCATTAACTGCTTCATCAATTTCCCGAAAATATTTCTTAAAGTGTACATTCATTATTTTATTAAAATGCTTAAAAACAAATTACATGTGGTAAATTATCTGTATAAAGCTAGAATGTCATAAATCTGCTATTTGGCCGAGGTAAAATATATTTCCATATCATCAACCTATAAGATATAAAACAGCCAAAAAAAAAGGGGCACAACAAAGCAAGCATCTCTTAAGAATGCCAATTGAGCTACATAAGAACGTAATCTGCAGGCATTCCAGTTTGCACATCATCCATATAAAGCTTACTGATGAAGGATACAAATATCTTGTATTCACCCAAAACAAATATAACAAAAAAAAAACAATGCTGGATTGATCATTATCATTATTATGGCAATGAAATACATTCAAAGTGAGAGAAAACAAAACAAAAACACTAAAATCATGTATGCTAATGTCATATGAAACTTTTGTTCACCAGTATAAAACATATTAATGTCACTGTGTCTTCTTTAAAATTAATAGAAGGCTTGTTCAAAGTCAAAAACATCTTAATTGGCAGCACTTGGAGGGGGACTTCTACTCCTGCTACGGCTGTGACCGTTTCTGGCTGGGGACTCTTCCTTTCCACGGCCTGGTGACCTTGACGCAGAACGACTGTATGACCTTGATCTGTTGCAAAATTGCATAAATTTACTCACACTTTCTGCCACCAATTATGAAAATCAATTAATCCAAATATGGCACAATCCCTACCTTCTTCCTGAGCCGCTTCGTCGTCTTTCATATGACCTTGACCTGGATCGTGATGGTGATCTCCTACAAATGCATAAGCACATCTTCAAACTTAAATAGTCAACAGAGTCAAAAATTTAACCTTTAAAAGAAATACAGACAATATTTGTTGTCCCGAACCTGATGGGGCTGAGAAATAACTTTAGAGATATCTGAGGACTCAAGATATCAAGGGTAAAATACTTAAACAATATGTGGTTGGGACTTCCACAAAAATATATCCATGGTATTCGAGATATTAGAGTTCAAGATACCAATATTCAACTGTACCTTGGTTATATTTATTCTTGCAATTATGATTGCTTTTACTCGGTTGTAAAACTAACATTCATTTGAAAATACACAGACTACAGACACATTGATTTTACAGTTGAGAAACCTTACCTCCTTTCTCTGCTTCTTGTCCTGGATCTCCTACAAATGATGAACACCAAATTAAACTTCCATAATAAATTAGCAAAAAACATTTTCAATGGGGCAAAGTGTATTAACATTCAATCTTGAACAATGCGTTTCTGATGCAAGAGCTAATAGATAATAATACACATACCTCCTTTCATATGGACTTCTTGACCGACTCCTCCTATGAAATTAAATAAAAAAATTATGTATACATAAACAAAACAAATTTATTTATGAAAATTAAACATGGTCAAGACAAATCAGGGTCAGCATTACTGAATATTGATTGGTGCTAAAAACTAAAATTAATTAAACTGAAGTGATTCATTCAGTTAAATAAATGACAACACTAAAAATTAAAATGCAGATGGAAAGGCACAAAATTTGATGCTTTTATAAAACTAGCACTAATACAAATTGAGAAAATGGAATATTTACCTTCTTTCATACGGACTTCTTGTCCTACTCCTCCTAAAATTTAGATCTCTCCATCAGCATTTCATATCAAAATATTAAGAAAGCAAACAACAAATATTTTTAATATTATAAATCATAGAAAGTTTACCCATCTTAAGGTCATTTAGACTCTGATGTTTAAAGGCATCAAAATCCCCCAAAAGCTGAAATTCTTTATTTACTATTTTACTCAAGTCTGTCCCTGCCCCATTAGGGAATAATAAAGTGTATCATGAATACCTTCTCTCTGGTGTTCTGGATCTGCTCCTCCTGCAAAATAAGACACCTATGATTAACAATGATTAATATTATGGTTAATATTAATTAATAATTATTTCTCAACCCCAAAGAGTATTGTTCAACAGGTGACTTTGTCCAAAATTTTACCTCAACTTTTAAACACATAAAGCAATTTTTTTTCTTGAAATGTATTTTCATAAAAGTACAATTGTATACAGTTCAAAGTAACAATGCAGAAATTCTCTTACCTTCGACTTCTCCTTGGACTCCTAGACCTTGACCTGTATCTGTGAGAAGAAATAGATATTTGCCAGCTTATTAACAACAAATACTCCAAGAAGTTGAAGAGATTTAATTCCTCTCTCTCTCTAAATATTCATCATGTCATGAAATCCATATATGACCTACTGAATACTGTATACTGGGTTATTTTCGCCCTTTCACACTTGCAAACAATTTTACCCCGTTTTAAATTCGCCCAGTCTCAATTTTGTTTAAGAAATTATACTGTATTCTTTGAATTCCCCCATTTTAAATTTGCCCAAATGAGGTGTGGGCGCAAAAGGGGCGACAATAAAATGGGGTGAAAATTTCACTGTGTACAGTCTTCATGAAATGCCTTCCTACCTTGGACTTCTGCTTCTGGATCTTCTTCGGCCTCGTCTTCTGTCGTAATCTCCTCCGCCGTAGTGACTGTCCCTGTAAGGCGAGCTTCTTCTACCTCCCCTGTCCTTTGACCTCATTTGATTTGGTGCTAAATTTTAAAGAAAAAGTTTGAAGTTTGAACATGAATAGCTAATTAGCTATGCCTCAAAGGTATCACATATAAGGACTCTAAATATTTTTAAAGACATAATTCCCAAGCATTAGGATTTAAAAAGACTGCATATGGGCTAGACAAATCCCAAAACAAAGTATGCAAGCATTTGAAAATGAAATCAAATCTTACTTTTACGATCACCTCTGGCGAACTCCACTTCCAACTCCATTCCAAAAAACCTGGTCCTGTCCAAGTTATACAGGGCATCATCAGCATCTCGAGAATCTTCAAACTTGAATCTTGTTAAGGATTCTTGACAGTGTATCAAAGTGGGAAAAAAATTCAAACTTTTACATTAAAAAAAAAGTGTTTTCCTTTATTACACAGTAGAGGGGTTAAAGATCAGTTCTAACAGGCTTTGAACAAAATCTCTGTGGACCTAAAAACAATTATACATTGATCTTTTTATTTTGAAGGACATTTTTGTCAATTGAAGGTCAATTTGGCCAATAGCTGCTTCTTGGGGAAAACACTGAAAATTCTATATAAACAAAACATACATATAATTTTGTTTTACTTTATGTGCTCATAACAACATAAAGACATTTTAGGATGCATGCTCAACTAGAGATTGGATACATCTATGTATTTGATGACTTGGTCTCAAATGTGTAAAGCCAATTTGTTAGTAATAAAAATGGTGCTTTATCATAAAGGACACAGAATTAGGACTTTTCCACCTTTGAGTAAACCGATATTCCTTGACTTGTTATTCTTTGACTTTTCTTTAACTTGAATTCTTTGACTTGCCCTGTAAGCTCTGTGACTTGCTCTCTTGTACTTTATTCTTTGACTTGACTTGCTCTTTGTGTACTTTGACTTGCTTTCTTTAGCTTGAATTCTTTGACTTGTTCTTTGATTGCTTTGACTTGCTTTCTGTGTTACGTTAAAAGCATTCCTTGACCGATCTGTTAGGCCCTGACTTGTGATTGAAAATGAAGACTGTGACTTGTCTTGTCTTGCATTCTTTGTCTTGATCAGTCAGGTTAACTATTATTAATATATAGAGTTCATTATTCAAAAAAATAAGGATAGCATTTAAAAAAAAAAAAAATCCCCCCTAGTCATTAGTACTTATAAACTTTCAATTAATATATTCATTTATCCATGTTTCATCAAACAGGAATCATTTGCACAAACACTCAAGTGCACTAACAGTTAATGGCATCTTTATATCTTGCTATACTTGTAGCGTTTGTGCAAAAGGATCCTGAATTCCCTTATTCTTAGTTAAGAACTTTCAATTAATTAAATTAAAAACGGTTCAAATTTAAAACAACATGAAATTTGTCTATAAACCTCATAACAAATCAGCTGCAATGTAAAAGCGAAGTAGACGACACTGTGTCTTGTCTTTGCCTTGACTTTAGAAGCAGTGCCAAGCGGGGTCTTTTCGGTGGCCACCGCGGAGTCTTTTAAGGGCATGCACACTGTATCTGTGTAACTGAGAGGCCTTTAGCTTGACAAGTTCTTTGCCTTTTTCTGTTACATGAGACCCTTGTCAAACTGTCTTACTTTTATTTGAAATGCAACACCATCATCAACCAACTGTAAACTCTGATAAAGAAAAAAACAATAAATAATATCAATAACATGCGCCAACATCAACAAACAGTTTACTAAAGGATATTGTACATATGCAAAACCTCTGGGCGCCCGTGTGTAATAGTCTACCGGGACATAGACGTCTGTTAGGGGTCCGTATTTACCAAACAATGCTCGAAGTTCTTCTGCCATATCCTCTGCCCTATTACCAATTTCGAAACAATTCATCATTAAATCAAATATGCTTTAATTAATTATTCAAAAGTCTTTAAACTATGTATTTTAAAATGTAGATATGTGTCTTTTAAACTTTGATATCACATTTTACCATACATATGAAATATATATTTGGGCAAGGGTGTGTCTTTTATAAAAGAGACATTATTTTATATAAAACAAGCTATTTTCAACGGATTTTGGCACACCTCTGCAGTTGAAACTATGACGCCATAGCGTAAACATTGCAATATACATGACGTCACAATGCTTTTAGAACGTCGGAATACATGCACGAGGCTTTATTGGGGCAGTGCGATTTTAGTTTATTAGATTTATTAGGTCAATAATATAAATGTTACGTAATCAAATATGAATGTTGTAATCAAATGTCTTGTTTCTCGAATAGGAAAAACAAACTAAACCTTGCATTCAAACATTTAACATCCTAGATTTATCACTTACAAAAATGGCCGACATAGCTGAAAAGCGTCGGCACAATGACAACAGATTGAATATCAACACTGTCTTATTGTCATAGCTAAAAATTCACCGAATAACAAACCTTTCATTTGATGGAACATTTCTGACGTATAAAGAAGAGTTTGGAGGCCTCGAGTAGCGCGACATCACGACCTTTTCCTTCCTGTTCCTCCTCGTTGCGGTTGTAAAATTGAAAACGAGGCCAAGCGGGAATGTATTTAGTTGTTCATAAAATGTTTCGTAATTAATACTTATTTTCTTTTAATTTACCCTATTACCGTTTTATTACACTATTTAATGAAGTTTGTATTACTAACTTAGGGCCCTATATGCGTGATCACTATAAAAAAAACTGTTTAACGTTATTTCATGAAGTTTATATCACTTATTTTGCGTGATCAATAAAACATTTATTATATAAATACATGTACAAAATTTTATTAGTTCAAAACAGGATTTCCTTAAAAAAAATTATCAAAAAAAAAATTAAAAGCAAAAAATAATCATCATCAACGTTGATAAGGGGGAGGGACAGTCCTGCACTTGAAACACTTGCCGAGGTTATCGCTCTTTTCCCAGCGGAAAAGGTTCAAAAGGTAACCTTACCCAAGTGAAATAAAAAAAAATATCGATCATTAAAATGCAGTTGAAGTCATCTGATTGTATTTGACGGATATGAATAGCAAACTTTTTAAATTATATTTGTCGTTTCCATTCAAAATCAGTCAAAAAAAAATCAATAAACGCATCGAAATTAAGTTTGTGCCTAAACAGCAAACTTTTTAAATTATTATATTTGTCGTTTCCATTCAAAATCAGTCAAAAAAAATCAATAAACGCATCGAAATTAAGTTTGTGTCTTTGTGGTATGTACCTTTAAAACTTACGTCTTTGAACATTTTATATACAATACACTTATCTTATGTCTTTGAACATTTTATATACAATAAATGAATTTTATCCATTGTAGTAAGTAAAAGAAAGAAATAAAAAAGACTAGGCATATATTTTATGCATGAAAAACAAAAGAAAAAAATAAAAGAATATCGGCATATAATTTTACAAATGTGACAATATGCACTGTTACAACGCACTTTGAAAAAAAATTTTCAAAGTGCGTTAAATTTGGACCAAATCAACGTGCGCTGATATCGACCATGTTAACGCACTTTGAAAAAATGTGTATGGCTTGGTCAATATTCTTGAAAATCTTAGGTATGATACAATGTAAATAATTAAACCTGTTGGATAACTTTTCGGTGATAAAGTCGCGCACTTCAGGGAGTGAAATTGAGCAATTTTGATTTTCAATACTTTGAAAATTCTTTCTCTCTTAATTTTTTCATTGTAATTTTTTCCACTTTGCATGTATTTAATGTAAACTGAAATTTACTGAAAGTTTTCAACGTCACACTAGTTATGCAAATACATATATTTGGGTGTAGCATAGGCATCAATACCGGGGGAGAGGGAGGTGTAGTCACACAAATGTTTTACAAAGATATACATGACATAGGAATTAAGAATTGGGGCTTACCTTTTGGGGGAGGGGGTTTCCACTTTCATTTTGCTACCTGAGTAAAAAAGAGTTGATAAGAGAGACATTCTATATACTCACTTTCTCCTTGTTCTCGATGAGGTTTAATCAATACATGTAAATTAAAACGTTTTTCGAAAGATATAATTATTACAAATCGATTCTCCCAATTACTAAAATCTAAGTCTAGAAATTTTGTTTTATACATATTTTTTTCAAAGTGCGTTAGGAGTCCACATGGTAAAAATGTTGATGTACACTCTTAACGCACCTTTGAAAAAAATTTTCAAAGTGCGTTGACTTTGTCCAAAAAAAAAATTAAAGTGCGTTGATTTTGTCCCAATTTTAACGCACTTTGAAAAAAATTTTCAAAGTGCGTTGCCACATTGCACTCTCATTTTTGTTTTTTTTAACTTTTACCCAATACCCAATCCGGTTTCTACGGCCATGGAATACATTTTAGGAAGGGTGGATCAAGGAGGGCAAAAAAAAACTAGTATATAATAACTAGATTTTTTTTTTACTAGAAATACACTGTACGATTTTTATAAATTTATATACCTAGTCTACAAAAATGGATGTCAAACAGTTATTTCTTGTTATTTCGTCATTTTCTGATATACTGCATGTTAACAGTGCAGGACGCACTGAAAATATTAAATAAATTCATCGTTGTAAAATACATGTATCAGTAGCAGGCACGTAGCAACAGGGGTGGGGGGGGGGGGGGCAGGGGGGGTCTGCCCCCCCCCCCACTTTTTTCCCTACCTTACTAATACTATAGGAAATGATCATCGAAAGGCTGGTTGCCCCCCCCCCCCCCCCACTTTATACTAAAGTAAAGTAAAACGAAGGGAAATATAGTAATTGTAAGCTTAAGAAATGGATGTTGAAAGGAATTGGTATAACCCCCACCCCCCCCCCCCCCCCCCACCCCCCCCCCCCCGACTTGGGGCAATTTTCCCTTTTTTTTTTTTTTTTTTTTTTTTGCTTGTCAGTTTTTTCATTTTATAAAAAAAAAATTCAGATCACTTTCAAAATCGATGCTACGTGCCTGAGTAGGGGGTCGTGGTTTATATGTTTGGCGGTCGGGACAAGCACATGGCGTATAAAGGGCAGCGACCTGGCTACAGAAAACTCATTCAACATATCCTTGTTAAGTTCATCTCTAGTTCAATGATCATTACTTGGTCAGTTATTATGGACCCGTTACATATGATATATACATGCGTACTATTCCCTGTAATGAGTTCAGCGACCACTGATAACTACCGACAGAGGAAATGTTACGCGATAATTATCCTCAGTAGCTGATGATTATATATATAACATGTATACACTTTATTTATATATGTACTGAATATACCTATATCTTTAAAATGTAGAACGGAAAACAAGTACAAAGCCCCCCACCCCACCAGGGATAACCTTGTTGAAAAGCAGAAAAAAGATAGATCGTAAAAATCTAAATGATCGAGTAATAATATTTTTTTAAAAAAGGAATTATATGAAATAATGATGAATACCATAATGCAACATGCATTTAATTTTTGGTGTTTTAATCTTATCCATATCTCTTAGGATGTAACTTTTTATTGTAAATATTTGATATTGCTGCTCATAAACAGTTTTAATCATTCTATCATCACCCAAGCACTATAAAAATAATCAAATGCATTTAATGATAAAATCTCCTTCTTAATAAACTACTCCCTTCCTCCTTCAACAGCGGGGTAATTTTTGGCAATAATTTATATATTTAATTTTTTAACATTTTAGCATGTTCATAACAGCCAAGTTTAACTTGCTGCATGAGGATTCTGGCACTTACAGGAAAGAGAAAACGGATTTCATAATTTAATTAGCCTTTTCTTTGTCAACATTAAATTAAAGTTCCAAAAGAAGATGCAATATTTGTGAAAAGCAATAACCAGTATATATGCACCTGCAGTGTGGGGGTTAATGAGTGTAAATTTCTCTTCTTGGTGATTCTGAGTCAGTTTTCGGAAAAGTGACAGAAAAGAATGTAAAATCTATTTCATTTCATTTCTGTCCATACTTTTGAATAAAGATCTGATTGAATCTCATATTTTTAAATTTTTTTCTGACATTCATCACAAGATACACCGTGCATTATTGGGGTTGACAGTTGGCAATATCGTTTACCTGTCGGGGAAAGATCATGTCGGTGTGCTCAAGGTGTCGATTTCGTCGTTATCAGGCAAAAAACTTACACATCAAACAAAAATATAAATCTTAATGTTGGAGCTTTAAACAGACTCATCCGTCATAATTATACAAAGTATTTCAAAATCTGAAGCTCATAAAGCTGTCAAAAGAAAATAGTTTTCTCCCCCATGGAATACTTTCATAAATTTTCAAGTTTTATCTAAAACAGTTTTTAGAAACGTCTTGAAAAATTCTGAAAATCTCCGAACTTCATCCCCCGCCCATTTACTGTCAGAAACGTCTTGTTTGTCTTTTTTCTGAATCTTTAAAGATAAAATATTTTACTTAAATATGCTTATTATAGAAAGAACAGATTTTCTGACCAGACGAGAAGATAGAGCTACATCGTATTGTAAACAGGCGAGCATCTCCTTTCATCGCCATATTGCACGTGCTCTTTCTGGCGGTCATCCACTATAGAAGCAGACGTCTGTCGTTAACCGGCGGACGTGTTTACTTCTTTGGGATCATTTTGGACGAAGATCAAGAAGATTTTTCGATATAAAACAGGTTTTAGTACATCTTTCTGCAATTTCCTGATGATACGTACTCCCTTGTCCATTTTGATACCTGGATGAGGCATGCCGACCATAAAGAGTGCAAATTGAGAATCTAAAGCCAGTAAAGGCACGGTAATGTTCATATGGGTTCTAATAAATGTGATAAGTTGCTTATTTCTATCTTTCTTTTTAAATTTACTTACTAGTATCGACATTCTTTTTATTTTAGTTATATAAACGCAATGAAGATAACTTGATTTCTGTATTCCAGTTTTCAGCAATGGCTGTCTGCACTCAGCGTAATGAGATCCTTTGATGCAATAAAAATAAGTGACATGAAAGAAAAATTTTCGTTTAAAATGGGATATTTCCACTTAAAAATAGTAAATTGTTTCCCTCCTTGCAAATGAAAGATTGGTTCACTTGGTTAATCTTGTTGTATGTTCATTTACATTCTTCAAGCTTCCACTTTTCTGATGGATGCCGACACAGAAAGTACATTGCCATTGCAGATAGGACAAATCTGAATGAGTGATGTAATGCCTAATTCTTTTAATTAACAACAATTAATTATATGTCTTATCAAATGAGCATAACCTGACAAGTTTTACAATTAACAGATTTGATGACATGCATCGTGCACATCTGCATGTGCACGTATTTTTGGCAATCAAGTCTCCGCAACAAAAAATTTTGAAGAGGGACCATTAGCTTCAAGTGTACATGTAAGTAACCCCCCTCAAACTCAGATAAGGAGACCTACTAATTGTGGTTTGGAGGTCTGTAACCCTATCTTCCGGCGGTAAACCAAAACGCTCTTCAAAAACAACATGATATTTGAGTTAACTTTGACAGAACCCATTTTTCATGATTTAAATTCCGTTTATTTTTACCTTAATCATTTCTGCACATGCAATATACAAAGTTTTTTCTTAATGAGAAGTGTCGCAGCGGCATTTGATATAAATGACAACAAAGTGTTAATTATTTTTCTTATATTACTGTACATTAATTATTAAAAGCTTCATATGTTATTTTCGTATTCATAATTCTATTACTGAGTATATACATAGGTACATGCAGCACAAATCCCATCCCTAATTGATAGCCGAGGTATTTCAATTTGCCTCGTGCACATTGAAAGAAAAACCTAGTGAATTTAACTAGTGTGTTTCGTAAAGCGTTGGTCGTGATTAGTAAATTTTCAGTTTACTGCTTAAGATAGTGAGTTGTGAAGCGGGGGTCGTATAGATACTTAGATACCTAGTGAAATGTACTCATCAATTCTAAATTTACTAACCTTATCAAGTAAATATACCAATATCTGGTAAAACTACTATTAAGGTAGTGATTGTATGGACAGTGAATCTACTAGTTTTCTTCGTGACATTAACTAGTTATTTTTTTTACAGTGTGTTGGTCTTAGATAACCAAGCATACATGTAAAAACTTTCCATACACTCACTTTTATATATATTTTTTTTTAAATCAACATTGTGTTCTTCGACTTCTATAAACCGAAATTCATGCATCAAAAATCATGTCAATTGATCACAAATTGGATTTATCACTTTATCAGCATACTACGTTTTGTGTACTAAACTCAAATAACATTTTCTCCCTTTATCAATCAAATTCAAAGCTTATTTTGATTTGAAAAAAGAGACGGCATCGAAAAAATCAAAGAAAACAATTTCGAAAAACCAAAAAATGGATGACAGCACAAATCAACTCTAAACTGATTATTTGGTTCTATATAATCGATCAAACGCCCCTCAATGCGTGATGGAGTGTGATTGAAATACTATACATCAAAATCATCAATAAGTTGAAAGATGAAATTGTCATGCTGCTCCAATATCGGTATTGTACATCTTAGAGCCGCTGGGCAAAACACCGACAAATCCCACAATTGACAAACAAGTCCGCCTTTGTCGTTCAATTACCGATCAATTATTCGCTCACCAATAAATCCAGGTATCTACCCAAAGTCATTTATACACCAACGACCACACAAGAGAGGTTTCATTCGTGTCCACCCCGTGTTAATGTATATTTTAGATTTTTACAAAGTGTATATAAAAAATGTTTTGGCGACAACAATAGAATTGCCATGGGATTTTCATCTCCTCTTAATTTTACAGGTAACTTGCACTTATTGTTGGAATAGAATAACTGTATTTCTTTTTATAACGCCTGGCTTTTTAATACTTTAAAAATCAAGCCCCTCGGATATTGAGAGTAGATTAATTCCCAAATCTCTCTATCTTTTCAATATAAGAATTGTGTAATGTTCACGGATAAAAATAAAATTTTGAGGTCGACCAATCACCTCAAGCTAAACATTAAACATCGACTAATCTCATTAGCTCTGAGTATTTGAAGAAGGGATATATAAAATGCTGTTAAAAGTCAATATAAAATGTACTGAAGACGATAAAACTCGTATCAGGAATAGAATTTTGGCAGAAAGGTACTGTACAACTTAATCGCGCTCACTTTGAAACATATTACTCTTTACACATTTTACATGCAGTTGCATGGATCCTCTTGAGATATAGCATGTTACTTAGTGGTCTTTGATTATAACCCTTATCAGTTTGAATAAATAAAAAATATCCTTGAAGATATTTGAAGTATCATCAATTGATTGATTTGTTTACACAGCCTATTCCAACCATGGGAGATTGTGTACTTCAATTTAGCGAACTTAAAATTTTATTGATAAACATGTATACATTGATACATTAAAAACGATTCAATATTTTGATAATTGTGGTTTAAATCGCAGTAAGGTGTTTATTTTGTTAGTTAATTGTAAAATGCACTTAAGAATATATTAAACAAAATTTATGCATTTTGTATTGACTGAATAAAATTGTAAATTGGGTTGTCGGTTTCTTCATTTCTATTGAATTCGGTATTATTGGCCCCCTTAACAGGATGTAACAAAACCATTTTAATTAAAATTGATTTTTATTACTATTAGGATCAATTGAGTCATAATGGTTTTTATTTATACCTGATTTTCACCTGTGCGGCTGACAGATTGCAGTAAAATAAATTCCCACACCTGAACGACATGCATTCAAAATAAAGGTGTATTACTGACCGTAAATTATGTGATGTTGGCAACTTTAATTTATATATACATGTTTAACACATACATTAATGAATAATGAGGCAGATCGATACATTATTTTTGTAACTTGATTTCTGGAAAAAGATGTCAATTTTTTTCAAAACAGATCTGTCTTCTCGTCTTAAGAAAAACAAATAATCCATCTCACCTGTCTTAATTTTTTTCTCTTTTATTTTTTTCTTTTATAGTTTTCTAGAGGGCGTGGCTGAAACTAACATTCACAAACAGTTCTAGCAGGTGATGTCGAACTGAGTATTAACTGTAATTGATACATAATAATCCGACAGTTTTCAGGCAAACAGAGCTTATGCGCGCATGATGAATATATATTAAATCCCACAACCGCCAACAGAGGGCGTTAGCAGCGCACCGTAGAAAATCTATACGGCACACACTTGAAGCTTACGATGTGTGGAGCGTAGTAGAGGATAGTTCAGTCGTGAGAGGAGAGAAGTATGTTTAAATGAAATATGTCGATTAGCAATGAAGAAGATAACAGGTTCAATTCAGGATAACCATGTTCCGTGTTTGTAATTTCAAATTTTGGAGCGGGCTGTTTTTACAGTGGATTTTCCTATGCTGGGAATTATTATTCGTAAATGCAAATAGTGCTTATTGTCCGGGAGCATGTTTCTGTCCGTCTCTAACCAAAAATGTCTACTGCTCCCGGAAAAATCTGCCTGTTATACCTAATGGAATACCTGCCGATACTATACAACTTAACTTAAATGACAACCCGTTTTCTGTTACAACTTTGGAGAGAAGCAATTTCTCATTTTATATACGATTAGAACAACTCTTTCTGAAAGGATGCGGAGTTGAATATGTTTCATTGGATACATTTGCAGATTTACCCAAATTGAAGTGGTTAGATTTAAGTAAAAACCGACTTAAATCTATTGATGATTATACGTTCCGAGGTTTAACCTTAGAGCATTTGTTCTTAAATGACAATCCGGGTATTCAATTGTCCAAAAATGCATTCGGAGGCTTAAGAACAACGGGATTATATATCCATGAATGTGCCATTTCTAATCTAGCAATTGAAGTTTTTAAACCGTTGAATGGAACATTGAAGGCGTTGTGGATAGATAAAAACAAAATCGAATCATTTGGAATTGAGTGGTTGTATTTATTCCGGAAACTAAGTCACGTAAGGTTAGGAAACAACCCATTTCATTGCAATTGTGAGATGAAATGGCTTTTCGATTTCTACCACAAGGACCAGAGTACTGAGAATAAAATACCGTCAAAGGAAGCGCCATCGTGTCGATCTCCGGCCAATGTTAGGGGAAAAGACTTCGGTTCTTTAACTGAAGACGATTTTGCATGTCAACTTCCAGTGTTTAAGAATGTGGACCTTATCTTTGAGGAAAGTGTTGGTAAGTTGACATGCTTAGCCAGTGGAGACCCAGTTCCAACCATCCACTGGATAAAACCAGACAATACGTCCCAAACGTATCCTCCAAAATCAAATCTTGTGCACGTAAAAGACAACGAGGGGGTTATGTATATAAGTAACCCCCATTCGATCAGCAACGTCAAATACCAGTGTATAGCCAGCAATCCGGCGGGTAACGTCACTCTTTCCTTAAACGTTTTCTGGCCCACGCATTACCCACGTGACGTTGGGATACCCGATGTTCCTAAAACAGAAAAACCACAGACATTCAAACCAACAACGCATTCAACTACATTACCATTAAAACCAGAGGAGAAATATGTCAAACCGGTATTTCCGATATCCACCAAATCGGACAAAAATGGGAAAGATAAAGACACAATTTATGTCATCAATGCAACCAAAGCAGGGATGAGCATGGAGCGGCGAGTTACGCCCCCTGATCAGAATTCGGAGTATTCGGTAGTGGATATTATTGGAGCTGTCGTTGGTACATTTGTACTCACTCTCATCGCATGTGTCGTCATTTTTCATATATTTTATCGTCATCATGAAAAGATTTTTCGCGATCACCCACCGTCATTTGGCGAGAAGTCGCCCCATGTGACGAACCTCGCGCCTGCTGAAAAGCTGCTTCTTCAGAATAATCAAGTGTAAAGATGGCTTTGTGTCTTGTGAATTGTGAGCTAATACTATATTCTGATGGAGAACTCTGTCATTATAAGAGCCGAGCTTAACCTTAAGTTCACCTCACGAAGAGGAGAATCATGTGCAATATTAAAAGGGAATTTTCTCGCCTTTTTTGTGGGATTTTGAAACCTGAATAAGTGGAAGAGTCTGTTGTCCTCAATCTCATGGATGAAAACAAAGAATTTTATTGATTTTGCAATTTTGAGTGAAATCTCTTTTTTTTCTCAACCTTATAAAAACAAAGAACAGTTTTGACAATTCAATTTGATAACATTTCTAAAGTGGATTTAGTCTCTAGATTGTGCAAGCTTAAGTATTTGCAGAAACTGCAGGCTTATTTAATTAACTGTGTATGCTTAGGAACAAATTAGAGCCCTGTGGCCATTCATTTCTCATTGGACACCGATCGTGTCATTAATCTTGCATGTTTTTCCATTTTATCAGATCTAAACACGTCACTTTATGAAATCACTTAGTTTGTGGTAATTTCGTGGGAATCTATTTCAAAATTCATTACCCCCAGAGTGTTCGTAAAGTGGAGGCCTGTTTGCAGTTGTTTACATTAACACCCTTTAATTTTCTTTTTGGGAATATTGGTTATGAAATACAGGTCTGAAAAAGATGCAGAAAAAGTTTTAAAATTACAAGGTGGGATACCCTTACACTGTGAGCTAAGACGCGCGCTGTGGTTAAGTTACATTCCTATGAATACTGAAATTTTGGTTTAAAGTGATTTGAAAGCTTTATTTTGTCAAACAAAAAGAACATCCATTATGGCTCTTTACCCGCCCATTGCGATAACATCAAACTAAACACAGATAGGGGACAAACGAGGTTAAAACTCTACAATTAACTTATAATAAACCACGAGATAGGAATCGGACCATAAGAAGAAATTTTACTCGTCTATCAGACTGGTATTTACTTAGTTTCGGAAATATTACGCAATTATTTGGGGAAATACTATATTAGTCTTCAATTACTTATTCCATAAAAAGAATATCTTTGTAAATTGAGAAGGCAAATAATTATAGCGATGTATTTAATGTGGTCGAATATGGGTATTGTTACATTGTTCTTATTTAATTGCTTTTTTGCAGTTTATAATTATTTTTTTCTGTTACTTATCAATGGAGACAGATCAACGGATTATCTTATAGATAAGATTATCCGAATCATTCAGATACGCTTGATTTAAGATGAACTGTCTGCTCTCCTAATTGATGACTTTACGCTACTTAATCTACGTATAAATTGCATTAGCTGATACTTGAAAATAACTGCCATTAAGTTCTAACATCCAAAACTACGGCATCGAGACAATTTTCGAGTTTCACGCTCTTCTGAGAATTAAGTTCATTATTTGCCCGGTCCTTTATTACAAAGCAGTAAAATTTCGCCTGAAAAGCGGAAGATAATTTACATTAATTTTCGCCCATTTGTAAATCTAGAAACGCGGCCTCTTCCTGCTAATTTATGAGGACATTGCAGACAGTTTGTATATTTTCAATATTTACATGTACATGTACGTCAGAAAACATATATATATGAGCCTTCAGTTAAATCAAATTACACAGCTTGCATTGGATTGATGTCAAATTTATTATAACCAGAAGCCAGAAGTATATGTTTAGTTCTAAATCCTTAACTATTATTTCAGTAAAATTGTATACAGTTTGGTTCATTTCAATGCAGCAAGACTCTTTCGCTCGAACGGTGTCCTATAATTCAAGAGAGTGAAGACTAGACATTTTTTTCGAGAGGGGGTTGAATCTGACTTTTATTATTTATATGCTAATGTATTTTTTAAGAAAACCAGTTTCAGAAGTCGTAACTTATATAAATACATTGTTCCAATGTATAATTCACGGCAATTTATCAATACATCTTCTGCATGAAATATTAATGACTTGGTTCTACCTTTACTGTTAGACAAATCAATACCAAAACCCTTAAACCCCCCTAAAATTTGTACAAGACATCCTCAACATAGATTTCATCTTGTTGGCATGTCTTTGTTAGAAATTACCATAATACTACGCTAAATCCTCTGTACACATCGACCTTAACAATATATTTGCTTTTATGTGTTTGCTTATTTTCATCTAGAAACAATTGTAACCACAGCTTTTTCAAGAAACTGAAGTTTTGTTTGATCTTCTACTAAAGATAAAATTTTCTTTTAAATTGAAACATAAATTATTTTTTATTTACATACTCTCTATTCATTTAGGCCTGACTCTCTTTTCTGGAAATGGTTTCTAATTTCAGACATTGACAGTTCAAATTCAAATCGACTTTCTTGTACAAATTTTGTTTGATGTATATACAGTCATTCATTGAATGGCTTTCTTCTTGTTTAAATAGATAAGCCTGGCTTGACGAGACTTAATTTGTTTCCGACTTCATAAACTGAGAACGGACGCATAACATGTCAGCCCCGGGCTGAAGATTGTCATTTTTTTCCATGGAAACCTGCTTGTTGTTTCATTTTATTTTATATTTATGTCTTCATGGTGTGAAGATTCAGAACTTAGTAACAGGAAGATAATTGTTTGATGTAGACACTAAACATGGCCGACTAAATATCTTTTCATTGTTCCGGAAAGATTTTTACGCAATAAGTCACGGTGTCGCATTTAATGGCGCTCACTACGAATTTGAACTAACTACTGCCTGTTTTTTGTGTTCTGTTTGTATTTTTTACATTGTTATTCGTTTAGCAAAATGGCAGTTGTAAATATGTAATGAGTATTGATTGTTATATTTGAAGCAAAATGTGTAAATGTATAGCAGATTTGAGAGAAAGCATTGTCTGTGAATAGAAGCGTTAGTGTGGAATGGCTGAATGCACAATGTATTTATTTTGTTTGTTTTTTCTGACTAAAGTACAAAAATGAAATGAAATATCATAACTAGTGAAAGATTTTAATGTTTGTTTCTGTATATAGAATAATTGCTTTCAGAAAGTAATTGACTCGATTTCAGAAAATTAAGAATATAAATAATTATTCTATTAAAATATTGAATTGTCCTTTTTTTATTCAATTAAGTCGGACACGGCATTAACATACAATTACAATGTTAATTTCAGCAAAGGCAACCCTAATTATAAAAAGGAAACGTTTTTTGGATAAGAACTTGTTCAAAATTTTAATAGCATGCATGTTAGAGTTAGACGCCCACACGGATTAAGAATTACTCTTGTGAATCTTTTCAACTGACAATTTGCAAAGGAAATAACAAAATGCAGTGTGCGAAATGGTCTCACACACATGCTCCGATTGGCTTCATCATTAAATGTAAACGCCATGGCACTCTTTCAGATCGTTATAGGAAAATCCTTTTCCGTGACAGATCTTCACAGATGAACCCTATATGATTTCATCCATTATCAAACAGAATACTTCTGTATGTCCGTCAGAGGACGAAAAGTGCAGTATTGATGGGCAATCAAATTGCAAAATGTTAATAAATCCTTTTATTCCAAAAATTTGAATATTCCTTTTGCAATAACTTCCGTCAAACAAAAAAGTAACAAAAGCTTTTTCTTATGAAGAAGATTGTAATTTTAAAAGGGGAAAATAATATCGCAGGTGCTAAACTCAAAATTTATAATAAAGAGTTCTGGCAAAATCTTATCCTTTCTTTCAGTACAGGTGTGCGTTGGGTTAGTTACGTGGAATTAAATATTTATATCTCTTCTTCTCCATCCATTTTCCTATGTAAGAAAACGGACAGATAATAGCGCCTGTCAGGGGGGTTTGGGGGAACTAATACCTTGAGGAAACCTTATTAATACCTTCATACCTATCAGGCCATCTGTTTCCAACTCATCACCGTTGTGGGGGCTTTTCATCAGCTTCATGTAGATTAAAACTTTAAGACGTCTGAAAGTGATGGTATTTGGCGTTAGCATGCGTTTCTCTGCATGTGGAGTCATATCTTGCATGCGAAATTATTTTAGTTTTGTGTAAGAAAGCTTAAAGCTTTATACAAAGAGCTGTATCGCTACAATGGGGTTTAGAACTTAAAATCTGCCATGAGTGATGAATGATCTAAAAATATGACTTCACTTTGTATCTAAAAGTGATACCAGAACAAATTCCTGCCATTCCAACGATAACAATAACTTCTTAAGAAAACTTTATCAACAGGTATCAACAGACAGATACAAGAGTTTCATGTTGTGTTTAAATGATAACGCAACGATACTTTGAAGCAAACTTTTGATCGTCTTATAGAAAGAAAATGTGCAATATAAAAGAACTCATTTCAATATCATGAGCAGCAACAACAATACAAATTCCTTATTCTCCATAAAACTAAAAATTATGAAAGTCTCGAGTAAAAGGATAGGGTACTCGTGCAATAATCAATAAAAATCAAATAATTGCTAGGTTAAACAAGTGCTGCAAGCTCAAGGACTCTTATTTGTCTCGCACCCATTGAAGTCCCCCTCTATAATCTTGGGCTAAGTCCGTATATCTCACCCCAAGCACCAAAAGAGATCGCACGGGAAACACGGATTTTTGTCACCAATTGTGTCAATGTCGACCCCATTATTGTGATGTCACTAATGAGGATTATTAGTGTGGTCGTTTTTCAATGTCAAATGTCATCTCGCTGGTACTGTACGTTGTAGTAATTTGTTTCCTAACAATAGCTCCTGGTACAATTAACGTTACATTACATCATTAATAAAAATATCTTGACAATCTTTGTATGTTTTGTAAACCAGTGCTACAAATGAAAGATTTTTATCTCGTAATTAATTCCAATAATATCCCTTTGAAACCGCAAACATAATATATTTTATATGTCTAAATCTAAAAATCAATAATTATCTTATATATCAGTTAGGCATAAATTGGTGTGTACATGTATTTACTCTCATGGTAAAATATTGCTGAGTAATAAAGCTTGAAGACTTATGAAGTTGAAACTTCAAAAAGTATGAAAAAGCTTAAGATTCATCACATTATTTTGTGTACATGTATAGAGGTGGTTACCCTCATAGATACCTGATTAAAATTCCATCCATTTGCTGTTGAGAAAATACACAACTTTTTTCAAATACTTTATCGCATTCTCTTTTTTTCGCCCAATTTTCTTTTGTTGAACCCTACTTAAACTTCGTATATTTTTTCTCTTATTTCCGTGTTTTGTCTGTAAATGATTTAAGTATCATAAAAGTGTAGATCCTTGAGTAACCATTATATATACATGAAACCCTCACTCAAGCTCTCAAGGTTTTCCACAGCAAAATCGTAAACAAAAGAACGGATTCTGTCTGTTTACCTGTCACTAAGTTAATTATAATTAACTTGATGAACTTATTCTTCTGATGTAAAAGCATTCCAGGCGTCAGATCTAAAGGCAGGCCAGGTCTTTATCGGACTCGTACTTTTGCCAAAACTTATTGCTATCGAAAACTCCTATGCGAAAAGCACGCTTTCTGTAAATAAAAGTCTTTCCAGGAGAAACAGAAATTGCATTTTGACGAAGTTAATGTCTTAACATACGGCTCAGGAAAGCCTTTATACACACGCAGAATTACGAGAGGGGATGAATAAAACTGTGTGACTTGGGTTTGGGAAAAGGATTAGGCAAATACAAAGATAACAATTGAATAAAATCAATGAAGTCTATATTAATGATATAGTAAATAAATACAGATCATTTATAAAGCTGAACACTTTCTATTTTCTAACTCTAATATACATCATACGAACGCCGCTAGTTTTCAGACCTACCAAGAAAATAAATTAAAAATCTTAATGTATTCTGTTTCAAATATTAATTGTATATTTTTCAAAGGTATACTATTTCTAGTAGACATTCTCGACAGGCCTGGTTTCAGATTTCCTCGCGTAACAATGTCGTAGATTCGTTTTTAAAAATTCGCATTACCAGATTACCCGACGACCTCCTCAAGAGATAATTAAAATCCCAGGGGCATAACAAGAACAGACCCTGGTGCATGTCTCAGAGATTTCGAATTAATAGTGTTTGCAACAATATACCCGGAGCGAATTATGGAGTCTCAAAAATCTGTGTACAATGCACATCAAGTTTCCGGTAGAGCTATTCGAGTGTGTTTGTGTATGACTAGATGATTATAATTATTCATCTTGGCTGTCATATCCCCCTTCTTGACATTTTAAAGCTGGGAGAGTGACCAGACACCTGTGTATCTTTGTCTGGTCAGTCCAGACCTAAATAGACAACGGGATTAGAGGGTAAAGCGTATCTGGGTACTATTAATTTGGGGGTTTTCGTCATCAATACATGTACACTGTATAATTATAAAAGTTCTGCATGTCTTTATTCCGATTAAATTCAGACGAAATGGCTTAATTTCTTGACGACAATTAGCGTAAATCATTCGTCAATGAGGTAGGACGGTCTATGACTTTTCCTCAGGTAAACGTCCCTTTTCTGAAAACTATACTATTAATGGGCGCATTTTCATTAAATGTGCTTCACATGGTTTCTCTAGAACTTTATAGAACTTGCATTTCTGCAGATTGACTATTACATGTATAAAGAAGTCCAGCAAACATCGTAGCTCTTTTTAACCAAAACAACCAGGGACATCGCGGATCGATGTTAAGTGTATTATTACATCCAATATTCCTCTTTCCTGTTTTTTTATGGAAACAATGTAGAAAAAAATATGACACAACAATCGCGTGCTCGATAGAGCAAAATAAAACATTGTTAAAGATCACAAAACAAAAGATATTAGCCAAAGTGGTAATCCAGGACAATTAGGCCATTACCATGATAAGCATCGGTGTTCATACAAAAAAATCAACTGAAAGCCGTCTGTTTCTATATCAGCGTTGTTTTCAGAAAAGCTCACGCTTTTTGATATTGGACACCAATCTCGTCCAAAGTGCACGGATGCAGAATCTTAGGGTAAGCAACAACAAGCTGCAAGAATATTCAGCCTCTTATTCTAACAGAGTTTGCATGATTTTTGGATTGCAAAATTTAATTTTGTATTCACGCGTTTTAGTTAAATGCCAGAGGAATTCCAAGATTTTGCCATGACTATATGATTATCCGTTTCTGTCTTTGAAGATGGTTATGTTTTTGAAATAAAGACTCTTAAGTAATGATTCAATAAAACAATCATTTGCAAAGTTTGTCCAGTGTCATCTTTTGAATCATCGTTTGAACTGTTAAATAAATATTAAGATTCTATCATTGAAGTACTTTGTTGTCTTTATTTTGGATCAGGAATCAAAGTTTTCAAACAAGTAATCGTCTTTTCAAAGACGCAAGGACTTGTGTTGCTATTTGAACAGATTCATCAGAGCTCTTCTGTCGCAGAGGTAAAAAATTCATTCCAAGCCAAAGTAAATTATGATCCTGAAAAATCAATGACTTTATATGAGATAACACGCTTTAATTTGAGAAGCTTAGCTGAAGTGGCTGTATAAAATTGGTTCCACTTGTCAGCGACGATTTATTTTTCTTGGTGTGACAGAATCGGAACAAACGTGGAAAAACTAACGATCAATATTCTGAACATTCAATAGCTTAGTGGTGTGACAAAATCTCAAATAATCAGAATTTTGCAGCTATATGTTGTAATAAGGAGTTAATATTGGTTTGTTTTTGGTTCGAAAGCATTTAGTAATTCCCATTTCTTGACACGTAACAACAATAGTTTCAGATGTGTAATCAATTTCCAAGCAGGAAAATGGTCACATTAACTCACTATGCCATTTGTTGCTTCCAAAAATACAAGGAAGAATCTAAATATTGTGATCATGTCCTAAATGTACTTGTATTAAAAATTAAATAGGATCTCGTCGAAAAACAAGAAAGATATAGACACTTTAGTTTCAGCCAATCAGAGCGAAGCGCACAAGCATGCGCGTGAAAAATTAAAAAGACCATTGAACTTGAT